TAATTAATTTATTGTTGAGCAGCTAACAGTATCTGCCAGAATTTTAATATCGGTGCATCCCTAAAAATACCAAAAAACCTAACTTTTCCCCGATCCTTTGTGGTGGATTACCTTCAACACTGTACTGCGTCCCAAACCACTTCTCTTCAGAGGACAGAGCCCATCATGCTCGGGTGACAGCAGTAATATGTTGGCTGTCGCTGGAGTCAAGAGTGTCAAAGCAGCTGAGATGACCTTCAACCATATATCAGACATATCAGATTAAACCTCAGAACCACGGGCATAAAATGTTTAGCATTGTAAGCTCAGTCCTACAGATAATAACATGCCTCTGGAGTGTGTTCAAACATCAGCTGGTCTCCACACAAGAAGTCCTCTTTTGGGAAAAGTTGCATGTTTTCACAAATGTTCTCCACAAACTCAATTGGTTCCGTCTGGTATAAAAAACAAATATATGACAGATGAAGCCCTGCATCTGGTCTATAAATGATTTCAGATGATTTTCAAGAGAACTCATTACCTGCTAATAGTGAAACTCACTGGCTTCAATCTTCTGGATTTCTTCATAGATCCTGAGAAAAGGCATAACCAAGAGAGTGTTGAGTTTTTTTGGTTTTGTCTTTAATGAAGCCAATAGAATTCAAGGATATGAGCAAAACCAACTTTTAAAAATTAAGGTTCTTCAGAGATTATTTTCTGGAGAACCATTTTTACTGAATAGGGTTCTTGAGTTGTTTGGAGATAAAAATCATTCTCCATTGTTACACAATAGGTTCTTCAGATCAGTGTCTTGGTTTCTGCAAATGGCACATTTGTTATGAAAGTTTCCAAATTATAGACTTAGATTTGAGAGTTAATGAATCATATAATTAATTATCAGTATGAAATCAGTACTGTATGTTGTTCAAAATTTTGGGGCACACATAAAAATATATATCCTGTTTCATTTTAATATTTACATTTTTAATATATATTATTGTTTCTTTATTTGATATTTATTTATTCCTACATTTTTGTAGCATTTAAAATGAATTTAGGTTTAATTTAATTAATTATATTGTTATTTATTTATGCCTAAGTTCTTATATCATTTAAGTACAACAACTAAGTTTAGTTTTTAGTGTTTACATTTTTATTTTATTTTTATTTAAAGCTGCAGTCCGTAACTTTTTTAGGTAAAAAATGATCCGAAATCAATATTTGAGCAAGTACATAACCAGCCAGTGTTCAAAACTATCGCCTTACTTTAGCCCCGTTTACAACGGTCATCTTATAATAATGTTTTCTAATTTGAGTGGTACAGGTAGGTTTTCGCGGGAAATTCGAGCATGGCACTGCGTCATTACGCCACATCTGTAAACATAAAGAAATTGTCCCGGCTACTAGGCTATCGCATGTGAGGATCCTGCAGGTGAAGGATCGTTTATAGCCTTTTCTCACAGCAACCAGAAGTAAATGTATCATTTTGATGGTGGATTGTAATCCATAAAGGATTATATGTTTATGATACACGAACTTAATGATCCTGCAGGTGAAGGATCGTTTATAGCCTTTTCTCACAGCAACCAGAAGTAAATGTATCATTTTGATGGTGGATTGTAATCCATAAAGGATTATATGTTTATGATACACGAACTTAATATGAAATTAAGTTATATTCCAGTTATAAATGTGCTCCTGATTACAGATAGCCTGGGATTACAAAGATTTGTATTTTAAAGAAAACCAGTTTGAAGGGAGCATAGTTTGCTTTTTGGGTTAAAATCATTTCTTAATATGAAATTCGAAGAGTATGAGTATTAGATTAGACTGTGCAGAAATTGAAATCTACACGCTAATACACACTATACTCATAGTCACCAATGCTGATGTTGTTAACATTAATCATTTGAGAATAAAGTATAACAATAATAATAATTTGAACGGTTTGATGTGATATGAGCTAACCGATCTTTAGATTTAATCACCATTTGTAGGGAGATTTATGGTAATGCTTTTTTTCCTCAGTTGGTCAGAACAAACGTGGCAGACTTGTTACTTACTAGGGCTACACGATAAATAGCATGCAATATTTAACGCGCAACTTGTCAGTAAAGCTGGTTCTGTAATCAGTGGTAAATCTCCATCACCTGCGGACTTTCACATTGAGCAGCATTAACTACACAGAGCCATTGTTCACTGACCAGCTGCGCAAAACCACATTCATATTCGCGCGATTTTTTGCAAATACACAAAATAATGTTCTTTTTAGCAACATCATATGACCCCTTTAAAACTCCAGCAGCTACTAATCTCTTTCAGGGCCTGCAATAAGACAACAGTAAAAAGCGTTCTGATAATCAAACTTCTGCAAACAATTCCTGTACTGTACAGTTTCTGTTGAGGATGGGATTACGGATGTTACACAGACGTAAACGCTCTTGAAGAGCACACCTACTACACTGAATTCTTCTCAATGGCTGATAGACCATGGCGTGAAAAACAAGAACAAATCTGATTGGTCGAGTAGTCTATTACATGACAAACGTATACTCAAAACCTTAAAGGGGTCATATGATGTTGCTAAAAAGAACATTATTTTGTGTATTTGGTGTAATGAAATGTGTTTATGCGGTTTAAGGTTCAAAAACACATTATTTTCCACATACTGTACATTATTGTTTCTCCTCTATGCCCCGCCTTTCTGAAACGCGTTGATTTTTACAAAACTCATCGTTCTGAAAAGCGAGGTGTGCTGTGATTGGCCAGCTATCCAGTGCCGAATACCTGAAGCGTGAGACAGAAATGTTACACCCCTACCATACTGTGATTCCCTGTCCGGCCGGAGCGACGAAACAAAAACATTAAACCCCATTATAAACGAGGCAATTGTTGGAACAGTGTTGTAAATACAACTTAACCACTGATTTCTAGTCGTGTCCTCTTTTGGAAGACCAAACAAAGTAGTTTTGCTTTCACAATGAAACACACAGCGTCACACATGGCAGGCTTGAGTGAGGAATGGCCAGCATGCTTGAGAACGGCTTGCGGCAACCACATGTGACGACCCCGGGCTGGACTCCGCTTTGTCCGCGGTGAGAGCCGATCCGGCGATCCACAGCGCGAAGTTGATGTATTTCCTCAGCGACCAGCACGGATCAGCTCCAGGCATGACGAAGCAGATATCGTCCTCTTTTGGAAGACCAAACAAAGTAGTTTCGCTTTCACAACGAAGCACACAGCGTCTTCACAACATGGCAACGGCAACAATACTACAGCGAGAATAAAAGTTACGCCTTCTTTCTTTGCATGAACATTTGGGCGGCATTATGCAAATCTTCCCACATAGTGACGTAGATATGTGGGGGCGTGTTAGAATGAGCCGTTTTAGGTAGGTGTGGTTGGATTCGGATTTGAGACTTTAGTCTTTGTAATTTTACAGATCTTCTTTATGGACCAAGAGCTTGTAACACTCCAAAGAGAAAGGAAAAATTGAAATAGCATCATATGACCCCTTTAAATTGAGTTATAAAAATTACTAAACTGAAATAACAATAAAGCTATATATAAATATTTTTAAAAAGCTAATAAAAAGAAAAAAGCACCTAAAATTAATTTAACTTAAACTAAAGTTAAAAGTGAAAATTAAAAAATAAAAGGTCATTCAAAATATTAATCAATACTATAATAGTATATACATAATAAAATAACACAGCTAAAGATAGATTTGATAGACAGACAGATATTCGTTGTTTAATCTAAGACCATAAATTAAAATTCAGATTTTTTAAAATGAAGAATAAGGATACTGTAATTAAAGCTCTTTGTTTTAGTGAATTTTGAAAGTTTTCATTTCAAATAGTATATACAGTATATATCTTTATTATACTGGCCATCAGCATAGCATACATACAATGACAGACATGACACGTAAATATTACTATTATTATATGTGATTTGTGCTTTTATTGTTACAAATTGCATCTAAAAGTAACATTCACAACTGTACAATCACTGTACGCCCCAGTGCAAATTGTCTACAAATCAAAATACACTGACAGCAAAGGTACAACTATATATTCCAGCAGCATAAAAATAAATATCTACTCAGAAAAACAAAAAGTAGCCTATAACATCTGAATTAAAAATATCTCATTCTGAATATTTTCGACTATAGTTACAGAAAACACTCGTACGTCACTTGATAAAAATCCAAAGTAGATTATACATACACGAACCCACAAGGATTTGCTACAAGTTTCTGAAATATAAAGACATCCTGGCACGAGTTCACAATATATCTCGCCGTTCTGCTCGAGGACTTGAGTGAAGAATAATATCTTTTGAACGTCACCTGACTATGAAATGTGCTGATTGTGTTCAGTCTATTATTACTAACAACTGTTACATGTGGTTTCTGACAATACTAAGTTTAACATGAATTTAATATCATATTTTTGTGTAAGACATGAATTTTATTTAGCGTACCTAATCATGAATTCACTAAACATCAAATTTTTTCTCTCTTAACAAAGATAGCTTAAGCAAGTGCTCATTTTCTCAAAACACATACTGTGCCAGCAGTTAATAGATGGAGTCCAACGTACAATGTGCATCTGCTTCTGCTTTTTGTGTAAGACATGAATTTTATTTAGCGTACCTAATCATGAATTCACTAAACATCAAATTTTTTTCTCTCTTAACAAAGATAGCTTAAGCAAGTGCTCATTTTCTCAAAACACATACTGTGCCAGCAGTTAATAGATGGAGTCCAACGTACAATGTGCATCTGCTTCTGATCCAATCAAATCAGAGCATTGAAACCACCCTGAAAACTGCATAATGGCCATTTTGCAAAAGTCTGAGTTCATATTTGTGCCTTTTAACATAATATACACCATTTTACCTTCACTATTGAGATGGTTCACCCATTTTAGATCCAACCAGCTGCTGGTAGCCATTCACTTCTATAGTATTTTTCTCCATACAATAGAAGTCAATGGCTACCATCAACTGTTTGGTTAACAACATTCTTCAGAATATCTTATTTTGTGTTTAACAGAAAAAAGAAACTCATAAAAATGTGGTACAACTTGAGGATGAGCAAATGATGACAATTTTTTTTTTTGGGTGCACTATTCCCTTAAATGTACTCATATACTACACTCAATATATAATTCATAAGATTAGCAAGATTGTGCCGCAACGGATTGTGTTTTAAATCTAGTTTCAACAGTGAACACTTAAGTTCTGAGAGCCAAGTAATAGTTTTTGTGCTTTGCTCTAGTCCCTGCTTTGAGTTTCCTATGGACTGATTAAGTTAGAAGTGTACTATTATTACTGAACTACTTCATGTGTTTGACAGCTACAAACAAACAAGGGTGCGTTTCCCGCATCGTTAGCCAACTATGGTCGCAAGTTCTGTCGCGATCTACAATGATTCAATGTTTCCCGAAACCATAGTTCCAAGGAACATTCGCAAAATTGCGTGGTAGGAACTACTACTTTTGGTCTGTGGTTAGAAGCATAGTTTCTTGTTAGCATGCCGTCTAAATATACATTGTTTTATATGTATTTTAGCGTGTCTACAATGAGCAGCGTTTTTGAAGAGTGCGCATGTGTGTAACTGCATATGGGAACCCTGGAGTGTGACGGAAAAGGAACATGTGATGAATCGTACATCAAATAAAGAAAACCAAGGGGAATAAAATAGTTAAGCAATCCTTAGATGCTACATTCGTCGAAGTTAGAAATAACGTTGTAGAGAAGATGTGTATTGAAACAACCAAATGTAAAGTGTACACCAATTACATACTACATGTTAACGTGATTTTAAAAAATGAACAGCGTTCTGTTGTTTGAGTAAATGAACGAATCGATTATTTATCAGAAGTTTTTACTCCAATGCCTGTGTGCGACGTCATTAACGACAATTCTATTTTGTTGGACCAACATGTTTAAACGATGAAGGTGCGACCATGTTACTACGATTTCCAGAAACAGTCGTAACTAGCTAGTTAATTTTTCTAACGATGTATCATACTATGAAACGCACCCCAGATTGGTTCCAATCGCCATATAACATAAGATCAAACCAAACAACATCGGATCTGCTGCTGATACGTTGGCATATGAGTCGAGATGGAAATCAGCAACAATTCTGAGGTAGCTGGGGCGGCTTATCGGTTAGCCGGGTGGTTTTGGCACCGGTGACCATGGGTGGATCCGTATCGACTCTCTCGGACATCTTCACACAGATAATGTCAACTAAGCGCTCAAATACTTGTCTGACGTTGATGTTCTCCTTGGCGCTGGCTTCGTAGTACTCAAACCCTGCGAGAAAGTAGCCAAAGAAATCAGATCAAATCCAATAAATTGGATGAAAGACTGGACACAACTTACCTAACTGGTCGGCCAAGTGTTTCCCCTTTTCAAAAAGCACCACCCTTTCCTCATCCATGTCACATTTGTTCCCCACTAATATCACCTGAGCGTTATCCCATGAATAGGTCTTAATCTGTGTTGCCCTAAAAGGAAAAGTGCATTTATGTCATATAACTTCAGTGGATAAAACTCTATTGATTCCGGATTAAAGCTGCTCACCAGTCCTGCACTGCATTGAAGGACTCTTCATTTGTGATGTCGTACATGAGGATGAAGCCCATGGCTCCTCTATAGTAAGCTGTTGTAATAGTTCTATACCGCTCCTGTCCCGCTGTATCCTATAGACAACACAGAAAATTCACAAATTCATTATACATTTATGCCAAAAATAGTAGTTGTCAGAGGCCTGTCATATTGTTTAGGAAACAAGATACACATTGATCAGTGGTGCTCATTCAGGAGATGCAGGATTGAATCCTGAACCCATTCTTCCCTCTTTTCCCCATCATTTCCTCTTTATTTTTGCTATGCTATTTCATTTGCTAGGGTAGATGCATTTAATTTGATGCAGTCAATTCAATCTATCTTTGTTTTGTTTGTTTGTTTATTTGACAAAAAAAGTAGTGATAACACTCTATTCATCAAGGATAACACAATAAAGTTTAAAACAAAACTTATTTCCATTGTGGTCCTTGATGTAAAGCACAAACTTCACTCCCGGTAACAGGTACACTGGCGCTGCATTATAAATACAAAGATTACTAATAAAATTCCACATCTACAAAAATGTACAGTCACAAATGACCACGTACGTAATACAAATTCATCAACAAAACAACCTACTTAAGAACAAACTTTTAGCTTTTAAACTAAAACTAACCATATTCGAAATACCTTTAATGTCCAGAGGTAACTTATTCCACAAAAGTGCCCCAGAATATCTAAAAGACCTACGACCATACATAGTTTTAAAACAACATAATGTAATATCCATGAGACTTTGCCTAGTTTTATAACAATGTTGCTCATTTACCCTAGGAAAAAATACATTAAAAATGGTACATAAGATTATCA